ACTTTTCAAAGTCAACCAAATCAAATATTTAAATTGGTGTCTTATTGAGACATGAATTTCGTTTTTCAGAAATTCATATTGCACAGTATTTTTTTTCTAAGCAGTTTTTCAGCATGCAATTGTTCATCCTAGCCTTGCTATTTTAAGATGAGCATAAAATAGCAATAAGATTTAAACATTTCAACTGTGTCATACTTTGTATGTTTACACAGTCTCTAGATTTGGGAGATATTTGAGAAGCAGAAATTGTAAATTTTTAAAACTCTCTCTCTGAGCTAAGTGAGCATAGTTGGTAATACATAAATAATTCACTGTGCTCTGCAATGGGCCACTGTCAGCATTCGTAGCTCAGAGCAAGCATTCTGAGGCCTCCCTGTAGGAGCATAGCTGAGCTCGTCACAGAAGCTGTCAGTCAGTGTGCGGAGCCAGCTAGGTGGCATTGCGGAGGATGTGTGTACAGTCTGTGGGTTTGTTATGGTCTAGGTGAAGCAGTGTGGCACACAGCAGGCAGGAGTAAATTTCCCTTACTTCGGCGTTGCCTAGTTGTAAGGGATTGAGGGGGAAAAAAGAGGACTAAATATCTCATATCACGAAATAAAGCCCTGAAGCCTTTTGTAACTTTTCCAGGTTTTATTGCTATTGTCTATGACTTATATCAAAAACAAATCAGTTTTAGTATGCTCTTTCTGCCTAACCTAATCTGTCTTTACACACTTTGAACACGTTCTGCTGAATTTTATGTGATATTCCTAAAAGATACCTGTTATGATACAAAACTGGCACACGGAACATAATCAAAAAATAGAACCAAAGACCGGTTCATGGTCTGGAGGCATCAGATCTTGAGATCTGCACCTCCTATATAATTTGTAATTGTTGCTCTGCTGCACTGTGCCACACTTCCATGAAAACGTGCTGTCCACACTCACAATCAGTTCTTGTGTTCAGCAGAAGCATCTCCTGGAATAGCAGGCTAAAGAGTGCAACATTTACACGTACCCATAGGCTTGTGTAGAAATACTTTTCACTGATGAAATTAAATATTTTGAATCCCAGACCCCTTTTATAACTTATCACTTTCCTATGCCATATGTCTTAGTTAGTTTTCTCTCATTGCTGGGACAAAGTGCCTGACACCCAAAATTAAGGAAAGAAAGGTTTACTTAGCTCACAGTTTGTAGAGGTTTCAATCCATAGTCAGTTGGCTCTAAGGCAGGGTGGCATGGCAGAGGAGCAATGGTCCAAGGCAGCAGAAGACAGCAAAAATAACAAGAGTGAAAGGAGAACAAGATTTGTTTCCTCCCTTCCATTGTAAGCAGGCTACCCTTCTTCTGGTGGGGGCAGCCCTCACACCATCTCCTTGCCCTTCTCTTAAACAAGCTCAGGATGTTTACAAAGTGAGGACCTTGTCCCCTTGCTGAGTACTTAATTAAATTTTTCAATTTGACACAATTAACAACGTCCTTGTTAGATCACAGCATGTCCTCTACACACTAAGATGTAGAACTAGTTAAGCTTCTAGACTTCTCAGGTTGACACAATGCATCAACCATAACACCATACAATTCTTAAGGACTATTAAAAATTGAAATGCAAGAACAAAAGTCTCAAATTATTTATATTTGGTAGACTAACTGAGGAATCTCTTATACAACGTAAATAAGAAATGCGTCATTGAATTCTTCTGGAAGTTAACTTTACCTGGCCTGGAAGACAAGGCTAAGTCTGCTCAGCCTCTGAAGAGTCCTGTGACGCTGAGAAAGACTGAGATCTGTGATCACTGCTCTGGGAATTGCAGTGCTTTACTTGTAAAAATGAAACAGTTATCATTGATATAAATGAAAGATACACACTGAGAAATGTCTACAGAAAAGTTGGACCTGTTTTACAAGATGTTCTAAGCCTCTAAGCAGACAGATGAACAGGAGAAATAAAACAATTAATGTGGAATGCAAAGGAGATGAATCCTGAGCACTAAAGCAGAAAAAGAAATATTGAGAGGACAAGAGCAGGAAGAAAAGAACCCAATCGGAGCTTTGTTACCGTCTTCTGCCTTACCTTACAGGGAGCCAGGCTCCAGTCCGAGTCACAGTGAGACCTGAGGAGCAGAAGCTGAAAAGGGAGACAGTGTCTACAGAGAACTCTAGGGAACAGAATAAGTGAAAAGAAACACTGAATTTGACAGCATTTGAGGGTTTCCCTGTGACAAAGATTATCACAGGTAATAATTTCTGAAGGGCAAGAGCTTTTCTGATGGAAAATAGCAAAGGGAGGAAACTAAACGTGGAATGCCATCTACACGGTCATGTACACAGTATATGAATTGTTACTTTATTTCCAAGGTAACAATTACAGTAATTATTCTTCATGCTTTTATATAGAGAAGTGGGGCCCAAAGTATTAATTCTCTATATTTTAGATCATACAATGAGCTGATTTTCTAATCTAAAATTCTAATGATAGTTGACAGAGCCATTCAGTAAAACAACAACAACAACAAAAAACAACTGCCCCATTTTGTTCAGGTAGTTGGTAGAAAAACATTCAGTATTCAGGCTAAGTGTTTGTTTTAATCCTCTCACACTAAAATACATTATTAAAAGTAGCACAATATTATGAACACAGTACCCCAAGATCTGCGGCAGTGATGTGCTGAGTTGGTAAGTAATCTTCAAGTCTGAGAACTAAGGTCCCAATCATTAGGACAATTCCACGTCTGATGATCATCTTTGTTTCTCTTGTTTTTAGGTGCCTTTTTTCTTTCACTGAGGAAATTTCTTCCAACAGAAATGTAATCGTTTTAAGTCTCTTCCTGGGAATCTCATGGATTAAGCAAGTCCATGGATTAATCTCATGGACTGAAACCCTCACAAACTGTAAACCTTCCCCTCTTTAATTTGGTTGTTGGGTATTTTGTTCCAGCAATGAGAGAAAAGTAACCAAGACAGTGTACAGTAGCTGTGACGGAGTTCTTCAGTATTGTGGGGAAGGTGAGGGACAGAACTACACTCATCTCTATCATTCCAACTTTTGAATCAATCATAAACTCTAGAAGCCTGCCTCATGACTACGTGAGGCTTTAGGAGAAAATTCAGACACAAACCATAACATATATATATATATATATATATATATATATATATATATAAAATCTGGGCCCTTTTATTTACTTTAAATCTCATTGCTGCCCTTAAATATTGCCCATTCTGTCTCCTTCTCTTCATGTGAGAAAGGATGAGTAATCATTCTCCTACGATGCCTTCATATATATGGACACTAATAAATTTTCATGTCTTTTATCCTGTTAATGTGTCTGTTTTCAGTTTAATTAGCAGATTAGAGCTCTCAGAGCGTGAGAATGGAAATCCCCTCACCCTGACATTATTAAGCCTGTGTTTGTGGGACATAATATGGTATAGCTTGAGAAGGATAATATTATATATTAATATATCATATTAAATATTAATATAAACTGGATGCTGTTTCACAATATATATAATATTAATATTATATATGAATATAAATGATGCTGTATCACAAAGTATTCACTGGCAAGTCACACGGATAGACAGCAGTGAGTCTTCATGTAACTGAAAGAAAACTACTGCATAGTGTTGATCTAGAATTTTGGCTGAACCACAGTTAATTTTTTAATTTTTAAAACCAAGAAATTAATATATGCCAAATCTAAGCAAAGTTCTACAGCTTTTCCACCAACATAGTCTCAAAATTAGTTTGTTCTTTCATAAATTAAACTTTACGTACTTACTATGTGACAGACCCACGACAGCAAACAGGATTCAGTCATTATCAAGGATTGTCAAATTAATTAAGGTTGACCTAAAGCTGCCTGAACACAGATTTTAAATTTGGCTTAAAGACTTTGCTGTAAACAGTGAAAAGTACTGTAATTAGATATGTAAAGACTGTTAAATACTCTTGTTACAAGTAACAGAGTCTCAGCCAGTCATAAATAGCCAACTGTCTAAATGATGTTCAAAAAGAAAGTAGAGATATAAACCATGCCCAATCTGGTCATCTCTACCTCACTTACATTTTCTGTATATCAGCTCTTTTCTCAGACTATATACATACCTGCTTATGTGGATGGGCAAAGCACTCTCAATTATTTTGGCACAGACTGCTGTGTAATTAGCTAATTAACTAATGCAAAGCTGGATTTCTGATAATTTTATCAGTACTTACCAGTACTTAGTACCTTTTACCAGTACTAAGGTTGACCAGCAATCAAAGAATACGTGAACTAGTGAGTGAGACAGGTAAATGATTGAAAGTATATCAAACATATTGAATAAAGAATCAGTATATGATAACCAAAAACCCTTAACACATTTGTAGAAAGTTAGGTGCTATTTCATGAAAAAGGTACACATGCATATATACATGTGTATTTTTATCTCTATGTATCTATGTACCTACCTTGCTACCTGTTTGTTTCTTTTTCTTATAGCGATTTAACATCAAATAAAGATGATAGGAAAGAGCTTTCTGGGTAGATTTTAAGGTCGTAACTGGGAAATTCTTGGATGAAAATATAAATGTGATTGAACACTCATTCCACCACTGAGTGTCCTCGAAATCACGAGTAGTTTCTTAACTTTAGTACACTCAGTTTCCTCATGTATTAAACGGCGATAATAAAGTCTGTGAAAAACAGTTGTCAAGAATAAACAGTGTAATGTGCTAGCAATTACTGTCTAGTATGGCTAATACTTCATAATGACTTCCTTGAATAGAGTTTCCCTGTGTACATTTGATGTTTGTAGATATGACTTTAAAAATTGCTTGAGGAAGAACAAACCTGTTCTCCCAAATGTTTATATAAAATTCTCTTGGTTAGCCAGTACTATGCAAGATAAATCATAGCTCCGAGTTAGCATGATAACTTCTTAGTTTTCTACCTTTCTGTGTCTATTAGAGTCAAGTAATAGCGGAGGTAAATGTTTTACCTGTCAGGCACAAACACCCACATCACTTACCTTGTTTAACGTTAGCATCCCTGTACTAAGAGATGCCACAGCACACCTACTTTGCTTCTGGAAATGGTTGTTGTGACAGCTCAGACACATGAATTCTGAAACAAAATGAGAAGCTTATGGTATTCATTTGCATGTTGAAGCCCAGATCTCTCTTCTTCCTCATTTTTTTGACAACGACTGTGCCTAGCTAACGGAAGCAACCTGAAAGAGTTGTGCAGATCTCAGTGAGTTCTCTGAACGTGTTGCTGTCCTGGAGACTACAAATTAGAACAAAATTTTAATTATGCAGCTATCTTCAAGAGCTGAAATATTAATAATGATTAAGGAATTTAATCTGCTTTTGTTCTCCACAGGAAGCTTTGACATCCATAGTGAAAAATTTTAAAAATGCTTCTTTAATTCCTTTATTGGCAACTTTTATTGAAATTGTAGCATGTTAGAAAACCTGGAAATCTTCCCACCATCATTATATTTGGAGAATACATTTTCAATTACACCATGAAGAAATACAAGATACTCTTGGGAAAACCACATCTGTATGAAAACTTCACCTAGAAGTAATGCTTTGTTTATCTTCCTTGTTATGTTTGAAATTATAAAACTGAGTGACAATTAGTAAGTTAAAGAACACAAGATAGATAACCCCAAGACCAGTACCCATTGTGGGCATTTTTATAATTTGATGGCTCACTAAAAATAGATATAGTTCTTTTTCAGTCTCACAATTCTACGATGTGAACTGTAGTAAAAAAAATCTGCTCTCCTTCTCTCTGTTAAGATCATGGCGCAGTTCAAAAGAGTTATGAGTTCCCTAAAATTTATCACATGCTATAAAATGTACTATTCTTAGTTATATCTTAAAGTCAAAATAAAATTTTATAATAATTATAAAACAATATATTAAATTCAACCTCATGCAAAATGTTAAAGGTAGATTAACATTACAGTATATATATATATATATATATAAATATACACACACACACACACACACACACACATATATATATAAAGGTATAACTATAGATAAAAATTAGATCCTTAGAGTCAACAGCATTAGAATATACAGGTCAGTATGTTTAGGTAGTCTCTTTTCTAATTAGAGTTAAGTGATCCATGATAATGTAGAAATAAAAAAGGGCAAATACTATCCTGAAATGTTCATGTAGAATTATCAGTCTTGTCTTTTTAAAAGAATATTACTGATCTTGGTTTTGTGTTGAACCCAGAAGTCCATAAGTGCTGAAGTAAAGTGTTACGTCCTTTTCTTGGTTCCCTAGGTTCAAAAATCTTTTTTGTTTGTTTGTTCCTCTATTTTTGAGACAGGGTCTCACTGTGCAGTTCAGGCTGGCCTTGAGCTCACTTTGTAAGATTGCACCCCACTCCCCCCCATACCAGGAATCAAACTCATGACCTTGCATTTGCCAGGCAGGCACTGTGCTGCTGAGCTAAATCCCCAGCCCCAAGCTCACTTTGTATCACAGGCTGGTCTTGAACCTGCAGCGATCCTCTCGCCTCAGCCTCCTAAGTGCTGGGATTATAGATGTGTGCCACCATTCCTGGCTTTTTAAAAAATCTTTTTCTTCTTTTGGTCCCCTAGATTTGTAATACCAAATATAGTGGCATCTCTGTTCACAAACATAATGTGTTGTACAATTTTGGAAAAGACGCATTTGTGTTTGTGTGAGAAAGATGGCTGTGATTGTGTTTTCAACTGATGTAGAATTTGCAAACAAATAGAAAATTTTGCCAAATGCTTCTGTTTGTGAACCAAATTGTTTGCAAACAAAAGTATTCATGAAAGGAGATACCACTACAATGATTATATGAGATATGAAAACTGAAATTGTCTAAACCCTACCACCTTATACTCTATATCAGTAAAATTCTAAATTTTAACTACAATAATTAACATGATTTTACCATTCTGTTATCTTTAACAACTTGTCTGTGACTGTCAGGAAAGTCTCCTTAGGAAGAGAAATGTTAACAGTATCTTCACTATTTAGTTCAGAAAGTACCTTCCTCTAACATTAAATCAACAGAATACTAAATAGTACACTACAGATAGCCTTAAGTGACTATTCCCAGGTCTCTTAGAAATTTTTCTTTCAAAATACTTGCCTTTTGTTTTCAGTAGTCCTAAATTATTCTCTTTTTCTTAGTTCTAATCAAGCTTCCAAGATGGTTGAGTAGAAAAAATTTGGTTTCTAGCAGACAGCTTCTACTCAGTAATAATTATAAATCAGCTAGACCACTGCACTAAATGTAGATAGCATCTATCCATGCTCCACAGAACATTAATCCAGATAATCAGTTTAATCTTTATTCATTTATTTATTTTTTTATTCTTTCCAGTATTCTTATACTTTTCCTGTACATGGGTGCCTTTATATCACTGTTGAGGTCCATACCCTCCATCTTACTTTCAAATAATTTGTGGTATTTTACATGCCACTAGTTTGTTTTTAGTTTCTGAATTGGTCTCAGTATGTTACCCAGACTGACTTTGAACTCAACCTCTTGCCTCAATTTTCAAAGTAGCTGAACTGATAGGAGCACACGATCTGCTGCTGCATGTATTCTTATCAGGATGATGTATGTTCCCCTCATGGTAATACCTTATTTAAGAGAAAAATAAAAATATCAATAGCACAAAGTTTCACAATGGGTTAGTGTGAGAAAGTAATATATTTTTAAATGAATCTTTTGGTTTCCTGGGTATTAGAACTCTTTTGATAAGTGATATTTTAGATGAACAACAATATGAGTAGAACTAGAAATATAAAACCTTTTCTCATGTTATATATAGAAAAAAAGTCCCTTTTCCTATTAAATGACTATTTAAGGAACTTTTAAGAGAACTGACTACTGTGATAGAATTCTCACAGAAATAGAAACTGAGAGATAGCTAAGAAACAGATTGTGTATGCTTGGTGACTATGGTGACTTCATAAATTTTAAAAGTAATGCACATCCTTCTTTAAATATACCAGTTGACCTGAATAGGACAAATTTTATTCGCTGGCACTGGACCAACCCAAAAGAATTGTTCTAAAGCATAATGATGCCACTTCACATCTCTGCATTAGTATTTTGACCAAAACGAGATTATTGTTACCTCAGTTTATGTATTGGGAGCCCCAAGTAATGGATCAAAAGAGAGGTAATTAGGAATGAAAGAAAGAGGGAAGAAAGGCTGATAAGGATGAGAATAAATTCTTGAAAGACAACCAATGAGGAGGACAAGAAGTGCTTAATAGAATTAGATAACTGAGGGTACTGAAGCATAAATGTTTCAGAGAACAGAAGAAATAGTTTGGCTCCAATAGAAGGAATTCCTGTATTTTTTTGGAAAACCTGAGAGAATGATAGACATGGAAGCAAAAGGATTGGTACAACCAAAATGTTTACAGTATAATTTATATTCTATTTGGAAAATTCAGTAATTTCAATCAATAGAATAGTTTGTACATATGTATAATAGACCCTTTTCCCTTGACAAAGCTGGAAGTGAGGTCATTTTCCACAATTAAATAGTCCTGGAGGTATAATAAAAGGATTTAGAAAAGCAGAAATATTCTGAAATAGAAAATATGATGAGCACAAAAGAACTAATTAAGGATATTATGAAAGACATCAGGAGGCATAGAGAGAACCTGTGCGTTTGAAGACCATAACTTCTCATTGTTCTATTTAGTTGTGAGATTTCTCTCCTGTGTTGCTCAACAGGAAATGTATGGGAAGGAAGTAGCATAGTAAGTAGAAAGCAATCCCTGTACACGTGCTTTATTTTTAAGTAATAATTACCTTATATATCAATTTAATATTAAGTATATGTTATTAAATTATATCCTAGTTAAATTATTTAAGTCACATGTACTACATATTGTGAATTTAAAACCCTTTAACCATAGAGGGTTTTATTCAAGAGGGTTCTTTAAATTTTGGTTGGATCTGAATTTTCATGCCAGTTTAGCTTTCAGAGTTGGAATACTGATACTATTATCTTCATTTATTGAAGAAAAATAGAAAACTTGAACCCTTAAAGCATTATTTAAATTTTACTCTGACTTCAAGATAGATTATCAACAGTTAGTTGTGATCATCTGTTTTCTTAAGAAAACCAGAACATTTTAAAAATCATACTTAAATTATTCTAGTTCTGTTCGTATGTTTCCAAAAATATATCATTATAAAGGAATAAACATACCTCTTTGACAGGAGTCAGCACAGGGCTCTGATACACATAGCTATTTATTATAATATAGTTGGAAAGAAAAATCTGAGACATGAGTGCATTGTCATTACCTGTGTATAATAGATCTATATGAATGAATTTCTTATTATTAGATTGCTTTAGTTTCTGAGATATTTTTCCTAAATAGCATAGAGTACTTGAAGGATAGTTTCAAATTTAGGCATTTGACTATGACAGTTGTGACTGATTCTCTCCCCTTACATATTTTAAATACTCCAACACTTAAAATTTAATGTTTTACTCCATTAGTATATGAATTCAGATTAAAAGGAAAAGATCCTTTTGATATTTACATTACCAAACCCTAGAATACACAACACAGATGGACATTCAATAAATATTTATATTTAGGAAATGGACTAAGGGAAGAAAATTACACAAACTGAATTATTGTGGAAATATTTCTAATGAAGACATATACCGTATGCACAGCTGACTATGTACCTGTCAGTTTTCATTGACCAGAGTTAAAAAGAGTTAAAATATTTCTAAGAAGGATTACGGGAATAAACTGGAAGTTGCTTTGGTTATCACCAAACCTTTCATAATTGTTTACTAAGAAAGTATTGCAAAAATTATAGAAAATTGAACAATTATGAGTTTCAAAGAAAAAACTATGCCAACTTGCTATTACAAGCAGTTGTTACACCAAAAACTATATTCTGATAAACATATTAAGTAGTAAATGTGTATGTGATTTTTGAAGGAAAATAATTTTAATCCTAAAACTGACAGAAGTCAGTAAAAATTTTTAATTTAAACTCTATTCTTATTTATTTGCACCATTACACATATGAATAGAAAATTATTATATATTGATTAGCCTTT